CCTTTTTTATAGGAGCTATCATTGTAAAAAATAAGCTGATCAACCATATTTCTTTTGTTATATCTCAAAATACTTATAAGTTCATCTTTATGTTCTTTTATTTGTATAGCTTGTTCTATTAATATAATGTTCCAGTCTTTTACTTGAATCTCCACTTTTGCAGATCTGATGGTTGATAGAGTTACTGTTTGATGATATATGTTTATTTGTCAATCTATAGAATTTCCTGATAGATGGATCTGTTTTCTTTTTCTCAGATTGTTATGTTTATTTAGTTGTGGAAGAAGATAAACTTGTGATAGAACTACTTCTATTAACTATGCTATTCTATCTGGTTGGAAATAGGTATAATTACTAGTAGAGTCATATACTAGTTGATATAAATAAAATAGAATTTGTTGTTTATGAATATTGTCTTTCCTAATATGACTGTCAGAGTATTAGTATAGACTACCTAGTGTGTTTTTCTTCTATCTAGATTTGTTAGAAATGTTTCAGTCTATATATTGTAAACTGTTCATTCAAGTCCATGTAGAGAGTTTCATAGGAGATCTTAATTTATTGCTGGCTTTTTATGAACTTTTTTGTATCAGGAGGGAATCGATCTCTTGTATTTGTTAAAGAGAATTTGAATTGTTCTTCATTCTTTGAGTATCATTGTAGTAGTATTAATAAGCTGATCTAGGAACATAATCTTATACTTGTATGGTAATAAAATGACCTTTTTATAATCTCTATCATCTTGTAGTATTGATTTGACAGACAGAATACTTCCTTAATAATCAAATTTTTCCTTCTATCTCCAACTTTGAAAGGTAATTTGTATACTTTTTACCAGGGTCAATATTGTAGCTACCAAATTTCCTTTAATTAACTTTTGAGGATTGATAGAATTTTCTAGAATATTACCAGGCTTCCAACATTTAATTTGGCTTTGTTTTAGTTTAATTATAGTAGCAATACCAGAGGCTTCATTATTATTGAGTTGATAGAAAAATATATATATGTAGCTTTCTAGTTATATTTCCTAAATACTTTTGAGACTATATATTTTTTTATTATAAATACAATTGTTTGAGATTGTTCCACAGACTAAGGCCTTGTTCTTGAATACTTTTCTAAATATACAGTAGCTGTGAACTCGGTGCATATCTTCTCATTTAGATATATATATTATATTTTATATTCTATTCTTGGAATCAAGATCCTATTAATAATATATCGGATATTTTTTTTGTCAACTTTTTCTTAGTTATTGCCTGAATTACTATCCTAATTTCAGATTTTATTAGGTTTATAATATTCTGGTTCTTTTGTCTTGGTTCTAGTCAGATAGATATCAAGAAATCTGGCTTGATCATCCTTATTAATTTTATAAATTATAGTATTCTCTATCCCAGCTTGAATGGTTTCAAGAACTTGAGAATTCTGGTTAATAATAAGGAAAATTGACTTTCCTGCATTAATCTGAGAGTCATTTGTTGTATAAAACTTTTTTGCTTCTTCCAAGATCTTTTTTAGATCTTTTTTGGATTTGACAATTCAGGTTGTATCATCAATATAAGTAATACTACCTGCCTTAAAGAGAGTTTAACTTTTTCATCAGGTTTGTTAAAGTTGGATGACCATTCTTCTTCTATAGAATAACCTAAATTCTATATCCTTTATTTATTATAAAATAATGTTTACATATGATATAATTACATAATAAATATATTATAAAATATATATAAACTAGCCTAATAAAGGAGAACATATGATACTCTTTTAATTTTTTCTAAAAAAATTTTTAAAAACAATTTAGTTATAAAACTATTGTAATTTTTTATTCTATACTATAGATTTTAAGTACTTCAAATTAATTCATGAATTTCTTTTCCCATTAAAGTTTATTGATAAATTACTCTAGACAAAGAGCACATATAGTTAAACATCCTATTGGCTAGCTATTTACTTTATTAGTACTTTACAAGATTAGTAAAATACTTTTGTACTTGTCATAAAATTCTGAATTACTCATTGACATGCTTAAACCATTCTTTATAAGATTATTAAGTAATACTGATAATAGCTTCAAAGTAGTTTTGAAACCACATATTGTTAAATTAAAAGAATTATTGAATGGTATATAATTATTTATATCAATCATTATATCATTTTTTATGGTTACCTGATAGTTGCCAAGTTTGTTACCTATATCCTTAATTATCTTTTGGACTTCCTTTTCATTGAGATTATTATGATCGGCCATGATGATGTGTTTTGAGATATCTAATCCTGGATTGTCCAAGGTGATAGTATACTTGTTATCAAGGACGATAACCTTCCATTTCACTTTTTGTGAGATTCTTCAGGTCTTTCTATCTCTATAATTTCATGTTTGTGAATACTATTGTAGTGTTTTTTTCATTTGATATGGCTTGTAAAGCTTTTACTACAAACAGTACATATATATGCTTTTGCAAATGAAGATTGTTTTGATAAAGGTTGTTTGCTTACTGATTTACCTAGTTTCTTTTTCCCTTGAAGTTTTTTTTTTTTGAGGACATCTTCTTCTCTTCTTTTTAAATAAGTCTAGGTTAGGTTGAAAAGAAAGAACTTGTCATTTAGAGTTACTAAAGTAGACAAAAGAGGTCCTTCCAATTCATTTAAAAAAGAGTTTTTTGGTTTGAAACAACTGTTCAGTTAAACCAGAATATTTGAACACAGTACCATAGGTAATGATGGGTCCCTAAAGTATTTAGTATATAAAATTTTGCAGATTACTTATGTCCTTTTTTGAGAGATAAAATTCATAACTCTTTACTTTAATAGGGACAAAAATCAGGAAATGCTATAAATCAATGATTTAGATAATGGAGAACAATTGTGGGTAGTTTTTTTATAGTTATTAATTTAAAAATTTTAATGTTACCTAGTAAGAGACATTTGACTTATGTCCCTGCCTCCCCCTTTAGGGATCCATCTTTAACCATAGGGAAAGTTAATCTTTATTATAATATTAATCATGTTGTTGTTAGATAAAAATCTCTATCTTTTGCTGTTTTTGAAAAAATTTCTTATAAATAAATTATTTTATCAAAAGATGATCAATAGAAAAGAGTTTTTTTTTAATAACTTTAAATAATCCTATAAAATGATTTATTAAAAACATGAATAGCAAAGTTATAGCTTAGCAATAAACAAAGCAAAACAGGATTTTGAATAAATAAAACTGATAGATTCAAAAATAAAGAATAGGTATACTTGAGATACATCTTTTAATAATTCATAAGAAAGAAGTTTCTTGATCAAATTATATAATAAAGAATTACCAATGCTTCTCAAACTGGCCATAGGAAAACCAAATCTATATAAATAAGTAAAGTACAGTATATAGCATATAAACAACAAACAGATATAATAGAATATCTATTAGAAAATCTATTATATAAAATTCAATAGTAGGAAATATGGAATAAAGAATAGAAGGTATTTTAAAAGATTTTTAAAAATTTCTATATAATAGAAGAAAAGAAATAATAGAGAAAAAAGAAGACTCTTGATTAAAGATAGAGTAGAATTAAAAGAATTGGATAAATATATAGTCAGACTTATAGAAAAAACTATAAAAATAGGTCAGAATATATTAAACTTCTATATGGAATTAATACGAAGTAATCAAATATTAAAAATGTCAAATCTATAATATTATTATAAAAGAATAGATAAAGAAGTCCAAAAGTGAGTAATGAAGATGCATAAGAAAATTTGCAATCGATTTTTAAAGAAGATTTAAAATGAAAGGTACTCAAAAATGATCGAGTGAAAACAAATACAAGGGATTTATAAAAAAGACAAAATAAGAAAACCAGCTGGTTCTTCAGATCAGAACAACAAGATTGTAATTACAAAAAGGTCTTTACAGGAAGAAGAAAAACTAGAAAATAAGAGCTTGAAATGAGTCTTATTAAAAGAAGTAAAGTATGGAATAAGATGATTAAAGTTTTAACTTTTGTTAGAACTCATAAGAAGAATCGTGATCTGCAGACAATGAAATTAGTAGTTAAAAGGGTTTACCTAAGCTACTAATAAAGTGATAAATCATTCTTGAAGTTATACTTAGAGTGAATAAGTTTTTAAAATATTTTTGAAAAAATCTTATTATATTATATAAAAATTTTTTGAGAAGAAATTATTAAATTAGTTAAAAATCTTTTAAAAAAACTTTGAATTGTTTTTTCCTATTTATTTTTTTTGTGTTTTATTTTAATTTAACAATTCATTATTTTTTAAAATAATCTATATTTTCAAATGATTGATAATAATTTCGATAGATAGAAATTAAGCATCAATATATTAAGGTATTGAACTATTGTCTCGTAAATTTAACTTAGAATATTTAATTAATATTTTAATTTTGTTAATTCATTCATACTAGTTTGGTGAACTTTATATATTTTTTAAGTAATATAATCCTTCCTTTAATTAATAATTTATGATGACAAGTTAGTCATTATGCGAAAGTTAATGTAATATTGTAGATAGTTATTTAATGTCTCAATAAAAACACATGATAGCATGATTGTGAATTAAAAATATTTTTTAAGTTAATTTTTAATTTAACCTATATTTAAAATTTTAATTAATATTAAAAAACTTTAAACATTTAATTATATTTGACATTTTTTTCAAAAAATAAATCAATTTTAATAGTAATATTGCATAAAATAATGGTTATTGTTAACTTAAATTTATGATATCGAGTATTATCGGGGATTAAAAATATCTGGGAGTAAAGTGTCGCACTTTAGAGTTCACAATCTGCTTTTTCATTTGTGACCATAAGTGCGTTCGATTGTATGCGTGCTATTGTGATCATAATACTTATTGCCGGAAGGCAAAATTTTGTGAACGGCGGAAAGAAGAAAAATTTCTATTCGGAAGGTTAATAAATAATGTTTCTACATAAATAAGAAATTATATTTTTACATGATACTATTTAAATATCTCACTTTGAATTAATAAATTGACAAATCATTATCGACTGAATCTCTTGATACAACAGAAGTTATAGAATCAGATCGATTACTTCTCCGCGACGAACCTATTTCTATTACACCAGTGACACTGTCAGGCGGAGGATGAATCCGTATGCTGACTGGGCAGTCTAAACCAGAACAATTACTGGTGGTTGTTAATGTATTGGTATCTGAATAAGGGTTGGGATTATTGACATCGTATGCGATTGTTGTAGAAACACGTCCCATTTGATCAATTGATTCTCGAGTCTGTTCGTTGGATACACATCTAGCGAATGTCCTCTTGTCAGTTTGAATTGTATTTAAATCTTGTGAAATGTAATCATTAGAATTTTTGATGTCCAAATTTTGTCCGGGCAAAGTATTGACAGAATTATTTTGAGTTGCTGCGTTGTATCCTTCAACTGTTTCAAACCTCGGTTGCAACATTGAAAAACTTACAGGTTCTTTTTTTGTATCCAAGAAAGCACGAACAATCCATTGTAAGATTCTGTTATCTTTTTTTTTCTGAATCCCGTAATTCGCGGATGTACGACGTGAAGGGGAGGTGTAATTAGGGGAAACAGATAGATGAAGGGAAAGTGGACGGGGGGTTGAGGGAGGATAATTTGTAGGCGAAGGAGAAAATGTTGTTGTTGTTGGAAGATGAATAGGATGTGAATTTCTTCGAGGAAAATTTTGAAAGTATGCTTCGGACGGTGACAGGGGTGGACTGCTGTGGGTGAAATATGATGATTTCTCGTAGCCATAATTATCAATAAGGTCCCTTCTCACTTTTCGTAAAGCGTTATGAATAGCGGGGTCGAAAATAAATGCAATAAAGTTGGATAAGCCTAATTGTTAACGAATAAATAATAAGTTCGTAAACAGTTTTTTGAATTTAATTTAATTTGTTTTGTATAACTAACCTGGTAAACATGATCCAACAATTGCCCAATAAATAATCCATAGAGGTACATTCTGATTGGCATGAGCTATCATCCAAACGTATTCAACAACAATGCCCGTAACATTTACGAGTGGAACTGCGGCATACATAACGATACGACCAACCAATTTCAATAAAATTATTTTTTTCCTTTTCGCTTTAACAGTTAACGTCGCGTTGCTATGTATGTGAACTGCCTCCACCAATTTTCGATGTTCAAAGATCAACTTGCACATGACGATTACGAGAACTGTTGTGCAATAAATCAACGCAAAGGAAATTGGAACGAGAAAGGTCCAGAGCACCCACATCTGCGTTTCTTTTGTGTTTAAACCTCGGTAAAGGCATTTCTGTTCGTTAGAGTCGTATCCGAAACGATCATATACCAAGGGTGGAATGTTTATTATGATGGCGACCATGAGGGCAACAGGAATGTACCATCTATCCGAAAAAGAGGAGACCTTTCTGCGATGAAGGAATACCACCTAGTATCAAACATGGAAGTTATTCGTAACATTCCAATATATTCAAACAAAACGTGATCTATGGAAAAAAATAATGCTCCTCTGTCTGAGAAAGATAGAAGAAGATACCTGGAGATTAAATGCTATCGTCATTGTCAAAAACAAATATAACTGAGGACAAAAAGACATCGCCCAAGCAATAAACGTGCATTTTGATGTGTCTCTTTCAACATATGTCGAGTATTCTATCACAGCTATCCCCGTAAGTACGTCCACCAAAGATATCATGGCTGTAAGCCTGAGTGATACTCGGTCTACCAACTTTCTATCGTAAAGCCACATTGCAGTTATTACAAATAACACCATAAAACCACACGCAATACTTATTATGCTCAGAATTATATTTAAATTTCTAAATATTGCGTCCTGCCTCATGATTCCAAGTGTCTCTTGAAATAAGGGATTCTCTGGTGGCTTTATGTATGGAATGGATGGGTCATCATAAGGATAAGACGGTGCATCTGTTGAATTTTTCTGCATCTCTTAAACTCGTTGTAAAGAAAACAGTCGTGATAATAAAGGGTAAAAGGAAAGGAGGTAATAGTTGAAGATATATTATAGTCGGAAGAGACAGTTCCGAAAAAATTTCTCGAATGAATTTATAAATAAGAATGAATAATTTCCTAATATTGACAGTGCATAACCTACTGTACTCGTGCATTTAAGAATGGCCTCTAAGTGAAAATATTTTTTTCCTTCCCATATCATTACGAAAAAAAAAACTAGAAACCACCGTAACAATTACCTGGCTTTGGCTTGCATAATTTTATTTCGTGTCTTTAAACTTAGGATTGAACGCCCAAAAAGGTAAATCATGGTAACGCGAATTTGTTAGTAACCATGATATCATGTGGAATCAAGACAAATTTGGAAAACAATAGTTTTTTTTTTTTTTTCTTTGAAATTCGTATTTGGTCGTCCGAGGTGCAATTCTTGATTTTTATGCGCACCTATTTGAAAACGTATTGATGGAGGCATTGCATAAATTAGGGAAATTAATTAAATCAAACGTTTTAACGAATTACGATGATCATGGTTACGATCATGCGCATAGCACTTGTGTTACGCGTTTTTCATAATACAAGGTTTCACAGAGATCACACTGTCACTTTCTTGTTGTTGTACGTATTTTTAGGTTACGAAGCAAAGATATTAATCATAACGGGGTTCAAGATACTATAATCGACGGTCTAATAACCAGAATACTCTTAAGAAAAAATTGTTCTGGAAAAATTAAGATGGATTCACATGTCTTTCCAAATAGATAGTATTAGTATATAGTATTATATAGGATATATATATAGCTACTCATATATAGATAGATCTATTATAAAAATTATATGCACAGTATAATACTTGTTGATATAAGTAACTCACTAGTTTATTATGTAAGATACATAAGTGAACAGATTCATAATGTATACTACTTATACTTGAGCAAGTATGAGCATATAATTAATAAAAGACATGGTTCAAAAAAGATAACAATTCTTTTTACAAAAGAGCTGATGAATTGACATATCAAGCAATATTAAACAAAGGCAAAAAAAATTTTATCACAATTCTTCACACATACCTAGAACCCAACTACCTATAACTTTACTTCAATGGCAACATAGAAGTTATCCAAAGCATTCATGGAGCTATCAAGCAAATTCACCAAATAAAACTTACAATTATTTGAAAATACTTTAACAGAAGCATATATATCAATCGATTCAATTATAAAGAAATAGACTGGAAAATTAGCTTCACACTTCTTCATCCAACAGAACTTATCAACTTATAAACAAACAAGTGGAACTCTCAATAGTATAACTTTTCCATCAAATTATGAAACCAAAAACTTCCAACAATAAACAAACTATACAAAAGATATCCCAATATATATAAAATAAACAGATGTTACAGCTATAATGATATAGAAAATAATGATCACCTGTTCATTTGCCTTCAACACAATATCAATATTCATAAAGAAATAAACAAAAATATATATAAAAAACTATATCATAGGAAAAATAAAAAATCTTCTCAAATAATAAATAACAAAATCAAGCTTAATACAAAAAACTTAAACATGACTATTTTTAGGAACTGAATTAGCAAGGTCCTAAACAACTTAATTATAGAAATAGTGAGATGTAACAAGCTATCTAATATTTTAAAAAGTATCACACAATACACAAGATTCTTAATCTTCAATATCTGGCTTGACAGATGCAAAAGAATATTACAATAGAAAAAAGAACAAGAAATCAACAAAATATCTATTAAAAGAAAAGGAAAAACAGAGCAACAGAAAACAAATACCAAAGAAAAATTAATAACAAACAAGCTACAACAAACTAATATATAGGATACAATAGATAAGATCTTAAAAAGACTACATAATATTATCTATATATTCTATATCAGTACTAATAGAATCTAGGTATATTAGTTTCTAGCTAGGAGCAACAAGTCATAAGGGATTGTAAAATTAATTAAATTTTTAATAGAAAAAACATAAAGAAAAAGAGTTAATAGATAGTTTAATATTAATTCAAGTAATATGTATTATACTAAAATTAATAAAATAGGTCTGTTTCACTTAAAAAAATTTTTTTTATATATTGTAATTGTATTATTATTTATATTCTCTAGCCATTGCTCTTGAGTTTTTAACATTCTCTTGAATCTTTAAAAATTTTAAGTTTTGATTAATTTATGGATTAAACTATTATATTATAGAATATTTTTTAATATTTAGAAAAATATTAATTTATAGTAACCTAGTTAGAATTTAAAAAAATTGATATTGGATTTTTTAATCTTATTGTGATTCAGATTTTCTTTCTTATTTTTTTTTTTTTTATGTTTAAATCACAACTAGTATTAGATGCGAGACTTTATTTGGCAATTTAATTTCACTGTCATTACATCAAACATCTCTACATATACAGATTAATGCTAACCTATCGTGGCAATCCTAGCTAGACCTACTACCACTTCAAGAGTGGGCACATCTAGCTAATAACCAGATGATTAATATATAATCATAAACAACGATACTTAGGCTAGTTAATATGAAGCTCATATGACTATTTTATATTGAAATTCATTAAACTAAACCTGTTAGATATACATGACAAAATGTACACACCCTCCAATATTCCCAGATATTATTTGCTCAGACCTCAGAAGGAGGCATGTTGCCTTCTTTGTCATCACCTATGGCATCGGATCAGTCCCTATTAACTGATTTTTAATTAAGCGGAGCACTAGATTGGGATATCCTGAACTAGAAAGGCGGGAGTTCTGGAGACTGCCAGGGTAGGGTGGACTGGAGGCTTTATGTGGGAAGTTAGACCAGAAGCCTTACTTCATACAATCCTTCCAATAGTATGACCTTAAGTTTCAGCCTCTAATCGACAGAAGGTCAGAAGTCCCATCTTCATGCAACCTAACCTGTTTTGAACTGGTTTCGGATAATTAGATATGACTTTCACAGAAAATCTGGTAAACCTGATCAGAAGAATAATTTCGATTTTTGGTCCTTAAGTGGTATTGAACTTCAGACCTTATTATTGAGACCTAGGAGCACTACCACTGTACTATTGACCCACAAGTCTATTTCTTTCTTATTTTTTTTTTTTTGAAAGTTTGAATATAATATAATAATAATATTATTATCATATACTTCTTGATTAATAACTTATTTATTAAAGCCTTATATATATTTTTTTAAAAAAATTATATAGTTATTGTTTTCTTAGATATATTACTGAATTATATTTAATATGATTTGTTTTTTTTAAAAAAATTATCAAAAAAAAAACTTTTTTAGAAAAAAAAAGTATTAGTGATATATATATAGTTTTTTTTTAAATATTAAATGTTTGTAAGCTGTATATATAAAATAAAGTGCTAAAGCTAATTTTCTAACTTACTTATCTTAGTTATATTATCTTTTTAAGTGGAACTTCAGGAGTAATTTATCATTCTATTAATAGTTAAAGTGAAGGCCCTTCCAATGTTTAATATTATTATTTGCAAATTACTATTGTAAATTAATAATATATATATAATATATAGATTTAAATTAAAAAATATATATATTTAAATATAGATTCTTATTTAAACTATCAATAAAACAATCATTTTTTCATTAATCCTCTGATTATATACAAAAAAGACATTCACAAGAAGGCACTATACTTCTTGACTAATAAAGTTTTATTATTCTTCTTAAATTAACTTGAAGAATACTTCAAAAGCCACTCACACTCCCTTCCTATACTATTTATATTTCTCTTCTAACAAAAACTAGACATCTGTAATCAAAAGTCTGGAAAACACCTATTCTATAAACAGTAAAAAAGTTTGAAAGAAAGAAGAACTAATACTCTGCTACCTATCAGATATATAGAAAATACTATGGAGTTGTCTTATGGTGAAAGAGCTAATTTTCCACTCTTTTCTTTATTGTGTGAACTCTAATAGTACTCTTTCTTAATTTTTTTTAAGGAATTTTGCCTACCTCAATTTGAACCTGAATTTTACGTAATATAAAATTTCTTATAAGCTGATTGGTTCAGTAGAATCACATTAGCAAAAGAATGTAAACAAATTTTTATTGGCCATTTCATATGTTTGAATACATTTCTTCAGCTCTATAAGAACCTGAGATTTATCATAAGTCATATGTATATGGTACAGGTGGATACAGGATATACTATTGATACATCTTTGAATGCAAGAAAGAGTCTATCCAACTATGGTAAAGATAACAAGAGCTTGATTAACCCTTTTGAAAATCAAGTCACCTACTTTTGATTGTATGTTAAGTAGGCTCTTGCTTCTATTGCTCAGTAAAGTTCAACTGAAAAAAGTAAAAAATAACTAGGAACACTCAATAGTAAAGTTAGTGTGTATAGTAAACCAGAAAGTTTTTATCCTATCTTTAAAAAAATCTAAACTGGAAGACTGGAAGGTTAACACTACTACATCAATTGAAACTCGAGTTCGAAAATGTTAATAATAACATATGAGCTGGGCAGATAATTTGAAAGATTCTTATTGATTATTAATATCAATAGTTACCAGCAAGG